GAATCAAAGATAGATAACAAAAGTTATATGCCCATGACCCTAACCAAACACAACCTAAATGTTGGATAAATATAAACACTTCACATTCATATTTATTGTCTTATGTTTCATTGTTTTTGATGAATTTAGTTTGATTTGTTGATTTTATCTAATTGAATGTGAAGGGGCGCATTTATATTATTTGTGAAAGGGTATAGATGCATGAATAGATGTGAACATTAATGGATTGATAAGATGTATTATTGATTTTCGTAAATGTGAAAAGATACATTGTATCAGTTACAATATTCATTATTTTGAATCCTATATATATGTGTGTGTGTGTGTGTGTCGATCTATTAACAACTTTTTACATGATTTATCTGAAGAAAGAGAGGTAGTCAATTTTTAATTCTTATTTGTGATTGTTTTCTTTTGGTTTTCTAGTTTATTGTTAAACTTTTTATTTTGATTTCATGTAGTTATATACTTTGGTTAGAACATAATATTTGTTGTCATAGTTGGAAATTACGTGCTATTGAAGGTAATGTATTCATTTGACTACGCTTCTTTAATTGGTTGGAATTTATTTGCTCTTGTATTGTTATATTCGTGTTCAATTGTTTATCATGTTTGCTATATAGTTCTTTTTAAAAAGTTATGTAAGTTATTGTATGGTTTTGACTATTTCATTGTTTTAGTTAGATGGTGAATCGTACATCTTCCTATAGAATTGTTAGATCAATTTTCCGAATCAGTAATTTTGTAATTCAATTATAACAAGTTATAAGAAGACATAGGCAAACCATTCTGAACAATTTATTTGTCAATTGTTGTACTGAAAATATCTATGTGGCGAACAATTATTATCAATGGTTTTGCTGCTATTTGCTGATGCCTATGCCAAACCATTTTTATCATAATGTTGTTGACGATTGTAGTCTATAATTGTAGTCACTTGCTGAACCATTTTGTTTAATTGTAAGAGTCGAGATGCAAAGCTATTTAGATTGTATAATACAATTACAGTAGACCATTTGCCGAACATTATTACATTATCCATTAATAATTGTAATATTGTAATGTCCTTTTTAGTTAATACTATATGAAAAGTTTATTTCATGTTGTTTATCATAATTGCTGCAAGCAAGTTGTCGAACAAAATACGATCAATAAACATATCAAAGGAAGATTGTACTATAGAATTACAAGAGACCAGATGTCGAACCATTATTCATTGTATTATAGAATTATAATAGTCAGTAGTAAATTAGCTATGACTTGCTCAATAAAAATCCAATTGATGAGCGGTTTGAAGTTTTAGGAACTAGATAGATAAATCTTTGATTTGATATATTATACACTGAATTTGGATAATTTTAGACCCACTGATGAACCATTCATTTTATCATCACACACATTTTGGTTTCCCTAGTTTCTCGGTTTCCACTAAATAATCAGTAGTAAATTAGTCATAACGTGCTCAATAAAAATCTAATTGACGAGCTGTTTGAATCTTTGAAAACTAGACAGATAGGTTTTAATTTGATATATTGTATGCTGAATTTGGATAACGGTAGATCCACTACCGAACCATTCATTTTTTTCATCACACACATTTCGGTTTCCCCTATTTCTCGGTTTCCATTGAACATTTAGTAGTAAATCTAGCATAACTTTCTCAATAAAAATCCAATTGACAAATGGTTTGAATATTTGGAAACTAGACAAACACTATTTTAATTTGATATATTATACGCTTAATTTTGATAATTCTAGATCTACTTCCAAACTATTCATTTTATCATCACACACATTTCAGTTTCCCTCGTTTCTCGGTTTCCATTGAATAGTCAGTAGTAAATTTGCTATAACTTGCTCAATAAAAATCCAATTGATGAACAGCTTGAATATTTGGAATCTAGAGAGATAGAGATTTAATGTGATGTATTGTATGCTGAATTTGGATAACTATAGGCTCACTGACAAACCATTCATTTTATAATCACACACAATTCGGTTTCCCATGTTTTTTGGTTTCCTCTGAAAAGTCAGTAGTGAATTGACCATAACTTACTCAATAAAAATCCAATTGACGAACCATTTGTTTGGAAACTAGACAGATATGACTTTAATTTGATATATTATACGCTAAATTTGAATAACTGTAGACTCATAGCTAAACCATTCATTTTATCATCACACACATTTCGATTTCCCCTGTTTCCTTGTTTCCACTTAATAGTCAGTAGTAAATTGACCATAATTTGTTCAATAAAAATCCAATTGACGAACGGTTTGAATCTTTGGAAACTAGATAGACATGATTTGATTTGATATATTATATTTTAAATTTGGATAACTGTAAACCCACATCCAAACTATTTATTTTATCATCACACATATTTCGGTTTCTCCTGTTTCTTGTTTTTCACTAAATAGTCAGTAGTAAATTGGTCATAACTTGCTCAATAAAAATCTAATTGATGAACGGTTTGAATCTTTGGAAACTAGACAGAGAGAGATTTAATTTGATATATTATATGTTGAATTTGGATAATTGTAAACCCATTGTCAAACCATTCATTTTATCATCACACATATTTTAGTTTCCCCAGTTTCTCAGTTTCCAATAAACAGTCAGTAGTAAATCGGCCATTTGAAAACTAGACAGACAGGGCTTTAATTTGATATATTATACGCTGAATTTGGATAATTGTAGACCACTTGTCGAATAATTTATTTTGTCATTGCACACATTTTGATTTCCCCAGTTTCTTAGTTCCCACTAAATAGTCAGTAGTAAATGGGTCATAATTTGCTCAATAAAAATTCAATTGATGAGATGTTTGAATATTTGGAAACTAGACAGATAGAGCTTTAATTTCATATATTATACAATGAATTTGGATAATTGTAAGTCTGTTGTCAAACTATTGATTTTATCATTACACATATTTTGGTTTCTTCTATTTCTCGATTCTCATTAAACAATCAGTAATAAATGGGGCATAGCATGCTCAATAAAAATTCAATTGATGAATGGTTTGAATATTTGAAAACCAGACAGATGATGTTTTAATTTTATATATTACACTATGGATTTAGATAACTATAGACCATTCCAATTGTGGTCAAACCACACTTAAAAGAAATGACAAGTTATTTAAAACAATGTATGAAGTGACATCATTTTAAAATATTAGACATTTTTACGCTAAAAAACGAGACCACACAATAAAATCATAATGTAAAACTGTATATAATTAAAATCTTTAATTTGATAGATCTATACAATGTATGTACCTCAATAGTTGATATCTATCAATTGAAACATCAAATTAATCAAATAAACGTGGTGCCAAGACCAATATCATAAACAACCTGTACAACGCTCGGGCTTTCAACTTGTACAAGAATATAGTTTCATCTCCTACATCATCATTCAAATGATGATACTTTTATTTTAAACTCGAAAAAAAAAATAAAGATATGTATTATATTTGTATCAATAAATAAACACTCTTATCAATCAAATGACAATTTTGTATCAGTAAATGATCGTTTTTTGACGCTTTTTAAACGACATATGATCCTTTATTCAAAACAGGTTTTATAAAGGATTATTTGAGTGATAAAAATGCAACTTGAGTTTTTTTAGTTTTTTAAATTAGTGTTCTTATAGTACTCCTTGATAAAGGGTAATCGTAGAATTTTGTAGGAATAAGAATTTTTTTTTTTTTTTTGGGAAAAAAAAAGAACTTATAAATGAAGCGTCTAGAAGAATGGTTTCTTTCGTGGGAACTATATTTGTATTCTGAAAGACAAGGTATATTAAACTGTTCTTAAATCCGTACAAAGAAAAAGAAAAGAAATTCTTTAATTATTATATTCTTTACAGATATTTTTTTTTTTGTCGTTTTTATGTTTAAAACAGGTTCAGAATTGAAAACCTTCTCTGAGTTTCATTATTTAGTTTGGGCTTTTAAAAAGAGAGTGACAAACTACATGTACATCTTGAACTTTTTAATTTGATACAGCGGACAGCCTTAAGGCTTAAGTTGAGTGTCTTTATCAACTTCCCCTTCTTCTATAAGTTGTTCAATTTCCCTCTCTTATTAATTAAAAAAAAAAAAAAAATTTCAAATTAAAAAGTGGCTACCCACTTTTTAATATATTTCAAGATGTACATGTAGTTTGTCACTCTCTTTTTCAAAGCCCAGTTCTTATTTTTTATTTAAGAGATTATCTACATAAAACTAAAAATATTTTAGATGTCCTTTTAGTACTGTTAATACTATTATAATATTATGTAATAATTAGACTTATATTTATTTATTTTTATTGTTGGTAAATTACTTTTTATTTTTTTTATTTATGTCGAAAGTTTAATTTGTTTTTACTTTAATTTAACAAAAGCATGTGAACAGCCCTTTGTCTTTCAATAACACAATAACACATCATTAAGCTTCGTTTACAAGTTATAAATTTTTTCGTTTTTTAGATGATAAGTAATATCTTTTTCTCCTATTTTCACAATCTTGTAACTTACTGAAATACTTGATTTACTACTGTCAAAATTGTAATTATATGCATAAATAATATGATTTTTAGAAACTTTTTAATCCAAATTTGATATTCCAAATTATTGTTAATGAATTACTAAACAATTATTTAACTCAAAAGCTTAAACTATTAGGAAATAATATTTTTTTAGAACAGAAATTAGAGTAGAAAAGAAATATTTTTGTATCAAAAATAAAAAATAAAAAATCAGAAGACCAAGACTTTTAGTTTATCAACTTGGCCTTGTAATAATAGTTTGATAAATTCAAATGTAATATTGTTTTGTATCTTATTGAAATAAATAAAATAAAAATGAAAAAAAGAAAGAAATAAGAAAATTAGAAGACCAAGACTTTTGGTAAAGCAACTTCGCCTTTACAAAGTTTTCCAAGGATTTTGTTTGTCGTTTGAAAGAAAGAAAGAAAGAAAGAAAGAAAGAAAGGTGACTGAGCTCTTGCTTTCGATGCTTTTATGTTTACAGAGATTCCTTTGTTTCCTTCATTGCAAGGATTCAGTTGCTTACTAAACAAGCAATGGCTTCATTTTTTTCTATTTCTAACAAACAGAGATATTATTTTTAACACTCTGATCAAATTGTTATTTCATAGTACAGAGAGTTAGAGCTCCGTGATCGATGGAAAGTAGAAGTTGTAGCAAGAGAACACCAGGTTTCAGTGACTATGGCTTCACTGATATTCTTCTTTCTTGGTCTCTTGATGACATTCTTAATCAAAATCTTTTCAAGGACAATGTAAGTTTTCCTCTTCTTCTTCTTCTTCGTTTACAATTTACAGTTTTTTTTTTTTTTTGAATATTTACAATTTCAAAATAATGAATGGTCTTTTACCCGCCCAAGCCCATTTTAAGTCTTTGTTGAAGCATCACTCACATTAAGAAACTAGTTGTTTGTGTTCTTAGTTATGTGATTTTCTTATTCATTAATGTAATTTACATTAGATATATGAAATGTTTGATGCCATTTTCTGGTTATAAGAAAAAGAATCCAAGAAAAATAAAAAATGTTTAATCCACTTTGTGTTAAATGCCTGAATCAAATTCATACTGACTGCCAAATAGTATATTTTCAAATTCTGTTTTGAATTATTTCTGATATTTTATTCCTTTTAGGTGAAAAAAATTCCAAGTTCGTTTCATTCTAGGAACCAGTATTTTCGGTCATATGATTTCCCTCTACTGGAAGAAACGCGAGCTCAACTGCATTCAGGCATGGAGATTATCTCAAGATCACCTTTTGCTAAACTGGTTTCTATAAAGAAATCCAAGCCTCATGGAAAAAAGTTGTATGAACTTGAGATTGATCACTGGCAGAACAGCAGGAACCGCGGAAAGGAGCCTTACAAAACATTGCCGGGGGATATTTTAGTTCTAGCAGATGCCAAGCCTCAAACTGCTTCTGATTTGCAAGTGGTCGGAAGGATGTGGACTTTTGTATCCGTCACAAAAATATCAGCGAATGAGAATGACAGTGGTACTACCATTTCTTTTAAAATCAAAGCCTCGAAGGACATTGAAGTAGATGATCAGAAGAGTAAATCATTGTTTATAATTTTCTTGACGAATATAACTCCAAACAAAAGAATATGGAGCTCATTGCATATGTCTCAGAATTCAAAGATTATCAACAAAGTTTTATGTAGTGGAACAATGGTAAGTTCTTGAAGATATATAAAATTCATATATTTTTTCATTTTTGTAGATTTTATACCATGGTGTTAACCATTACATTTCAAATGAAATGACAGGTTGAGGAAAATTGTGAACTATGTTCTCAACACAATGGAGGCGTCTATGCTGAGAAATTTGGTTCTAATTTATCATCTACCTTGAATGATTCTCAATCAAAGGCTGTGTTTGCTTGTCTTCGTAGGATCAATTGTGACCACAAGGCCAGCATTGAGCTTATATGGGGACCCCCAGGCACGGGAAAAACTAGAACTGTTAGTATGCTGCTCTTTACTCTCTTAAGACTGAAATGCAGAACCCTTGTTTGTGCTCCAACAAATGTTGCAATTACAGAAGTGGCATCGCGTGTGGTGAAGTTGGTGAAAGAATCATCTGAAGGAGATGCTGGAAGAGCAACTCTGTTTCGTCCTTTGGGAGATATGCTCTTATGTGGGAATAATGAGAGACTTAAGGTTGGTGCAGAACTTGAAGAGATATACTTGGACTACCGTATTGAAAGGCTTGTCGATTGCTTGGGACTGGTAACAGGTTGGAGACGTTGTTTCACTTCCATGAGAGAATTTTTAGAAGATTGTGTTTCTCAGTATCAAACTTTTCTGGAAAATGAATTGATGGAGAGAATTAACAGTAATGAAAATGAAATCAAAGGGAAAAAAGGCAAGAATAAAACTGAAGGCAGCAAGAGGGAGTGCAAGTCATTTCTTCGATTTGTGAGAGACAGATTTAGTGATATTGCATCTTCACTTAAAAATTGCATTAGAACCTTTTGCACACATATACCCATTTCGGAAAAAATTTTCCAAAACATTTTAGGCCTTACTAGTTTACTTGATTCTTTTGAAACTCTGCTTTTTCAAGGCAATTTGGTTTCTGAAGAACTGAAGGAGCTTTTTTCACATTCACTGGTAGTCGAAGTTGAAGATTTGTCTGAGTCAATTGTGGATACAAAGTCCTTGTTGCGCACCAGAAGTAAATGTCATTTTGCTTTGAAAACTCTTTGGGTTTCCCTTAATGAACTTGGCCTACCAAAAGCTGTAAACAAAAAATCCTTAAAGGATTTCTGTTTCAAAAAGGCTTCTTTGATTTTTTGCACTGCTTCTAGTTCACATTTGCTGCACAACATGGTAAAGGAACCGCTGAGCTTTCTGGTTATTGATGAAGCGGCGCAGTTGAAAGAAAGTGAGTCAATCATGCCTATGCAACTCCCTGGTATAAAGCATGCTGTTCTAATCGGCGACGAACAACAATTACCAGCAACAGTCGAAAGCAATGTGTGTTAAAATGGTTTTTTTTTTTTTTTTTTTTTACATTTCCCTCTTCCTCTGCTTGGTTTCCATATCACTTCTTCCCATTCTCTTTAACTTGAGTTCGTGTATGTTGATTTGCTTTTTCTTTAGGTTTCTGACGAAGCTGGTTTTGGTAGAAGTTTATTTGAAAGGTTGAGCTCATTAGGACACCCAAAACACCTGCTCAATACACAATACAGAATGCATCCATCAATTAGCTCCTTTGCAAATTCCTATTTCTATCAAAATCAAATCTTAGATGGTCCAAATGTTGAAAGAAAAGTCTACAAGAAACAGTATTTACCAGGGAAAATGTTTGGTTCCTATTCATTCATTAATGTAGTTGGTGGAAGAGAAGAGTTCGATGATATTGGCCATAGCCGTAGAAATATGGTTGAGGTATCTGTAGTGCTGAAAATACTGCAGAAATTGTACAAAGGTATGTTTTCTTGAGTCTCACGCACTTGTTACCATCTCAAGGTTTTTTCTTTTTTTTTTTTTTTAAATTACACTAACAGCTTGACCTTTTGGCTTGTTAATTTTTTAACATTTTATATTGATCTTTGAGATACAAGATATGTGCTGTTCAGCTCCTCTTACACAAAACATGATGTTTAATTTAGGTTATTTTCGATCGATTTTGATTTTATTAGATGGCAGATTTAATTGCTAGCTCTGAGAAGAATCACATACAGAGGCTTCAATAGTTTATGTATATATTTACCACTAAGTTTGATCATTAATAGAATGGTAGAACTAAATATTTGATGTAGTACAAAGAGACTTATTCAATTATTCTATGAAACATGGAAGGGTCAGTGTTTTGTGTAATGGAAAAAGCCCATTAATGTTAGGTGTTTCCATTTTTTCCATGTGCTTATATTTCCTTTTTGGTGGCTCTGTAATATTTCTATGCAGCTTGGGCTCGCTCAAAACTGAAGCTCAGCATTGGTATCGTGTCTCCCTATAATGCTCAAGTATTTGCTATTCAAGAAAAACTTGGACGTAATTATGAGAACGGAGATGGATTTTGTGTAAAAGTGAAGTCAATTGATGGGTTCCAGGGTGGGGAGGAGGACATTATAATAATATCCACTGTAAGATCGAACAGTGGCGGATCGATNTAATGGAAAAAGCCCATTAATGTTAGGTGTTTCCTTTTTTCCATGTGCTTATATTTCCTTTTTGGTGGCTTGGTAATATTTCTGTGCAGCTTGCGCTCGCTCAAAACTGAAGCTCAGCATTGGTATTGTGTCACCCTATAATGCTCAAGTATTTGCTATTCAAGAAAAACTTGGACGTAAATATGAGAACAGAGATGGATTTTGTGTAAAAGTGAAGTCAATTGATGGGTTCCAGGGTGGGGAGGAGGACATTATAATCATATCCACTGTAAGATCAAACAGTGGCGGATCGATTGGGTTCATGTCCAAGCCACAGAGGATTAATGTTGCGGTTACAAGGGCGAGGTAAAACTTATGCAAAAACTTTATCATAAATGGGTTTTGGATCATTCATGGCGAGTATGCTAATAACTACTATTCCTTCGATGATTTATAGGCATTGTCTTTGGATTTTGGGGAATGAAAGAACCTTAACTAGAAGTGAATCTGTTTGGGAAACCTTAGTCCTTGATGCTAAGGATCGTAAGTGTTTCTTTCATGCTGATGAAGATAAAGATTTGGCTAAAGCAATATTAGAGTTCAAGAGCGAATCTGATGAATTGGATGAATTGCTTAACGTGGAAAGTATACTTATCAGAAATCAGAGGTGGAAGGTATGAAGATTTATGAGTTATAATAATCCAGACATGGGATATATTTTTTGTAAGGATTTAGCATCGATTCTAGTATTTTTATGAGTTGGATCCTGACTCATCCTAGTTATTTTGGCTTTCTTATTTAAGTAGGATTTAGGTTTCTTCAATTTTATTGGGTAGGTGGAGTTTTTCAAGTTAAGAAAGATTCATTAATTTCTCTTTGACTGGGTTGAGCACTGGAAAAAGACCAAATTATACTGAGCAATTATAATTGTGAATTTATACTGACGCGGGTCTCTGAGTTTTTGCTTTATACGGAGATTATTGCTGATAGTTGTCAATAATTTTCTTTTCCTCTTATTTCCTCAGGTTATTTTTAGTGATAAGTTCTTGAAATCCTTTAAAAAACTGACGTCATACAAGGCGAGAAAGTCTGTTATCGACCTCCTTTTGAAGCTTTCTAGTGGCTGGAGACCTAAGATAAAGAACATAGACTCAATTTGTGGAAGTTCTTTGCATATCTTTAAGAAATTTAAGATCAATGGTCTCTTTATTGTATGCACAATTGACATAGTGAAGGAATCGAGCTACATCCAAGTTCTGAAGGTGTGGGATATATTGCCTTCAGAGTATGTCCAGATATTGGTAAAATGTCTTGATAATATGTTTGTCAAGTACACCGACAAATATATTAATCATTGCAAAGAAAAATGCCTTGAGGGGTATGTTAATTCTTTCTAATTTTGATCAATGTCTTTAATTCCTGAACTTTTACTGTTGCCTTACATCGACTGATAACCATATGATTTTTTCTTCTTATTTGATTGTTCATAGGAATTTGGAAGTGCCGAAGACTTGGGCAGCCTCTTCAGATATCATACGGGAAAACACTCTTGCTAACAATGAAAGTGGAAGTGACTCAAATGGTGTTATTTTTGATGGTGAAAGTTGTTTTAAGAAGTTCTACACCTTATCACTAGGAATGGTGAACCACCTGCTTTCCGACTGTGATGGTAGAGAATTGGATCTCCCGCTTGAAGTAACTGATGAGCAAATGGAGATAATCCTTTTTCCACGAAGCACCTTCGTTCTTGGTCGGTCTGGTACTGGGAAAACTAGAATCTTGACCTTGAAATTATTGCAGAAAGAAAAGCTGTACCATATGCCAATGGAAGGATACAAAGGAGTTGGAAGTAGAGCACAAGAGCATATTGGCCAAAAATCTGAGGTTGAAGAAGGTATTGGAGAGAATAAGAGGGCTATCTTACGCCAACTTTTTGTTACAGGAAATTCTAAAGAGTGTTTTGCTGTAAAGCAACATATTTCTCATTTGAAAAGGTACGAGGCTTCTTCATGAAATGGCTGTTACAGTTTCCTCTTGTTTTTTTTTTAATGCTTTCATATAGGAAATGAACTTTTTTCTTGAGCTTCCCTAAATTAGATTTTCCATATTACGATTGTTTTTTCCACTAGACTTTCTTTTTCATTTCTATTTGTGAAACTAGAAATTTTGCACACTGTCAGTGTTAAGAGAAATCAAAAGCTTATCATATATGTAGACCAAATTTGATTTTCATATTTTAGGACATTTGTGCTCTTTAGTGTGATTGAAAAGTAACAAATTTTAACAATTTGATTCTTCCATGCAATTTCAAGACATTGCTGTGATGGAATTGCTTTCTGTTCCAATGTAAGCATGGAAATGGAGTCGCGTCATTTAATATTGATGATCGTCTTGCCAAAGCATTCTGAATCTCGGTTGTTTTTTTTGTTCCAAATATTTATGGAAGTATATCTTAATAGCTGTTATATATTTCTATTCATTTGGTTTTGATTTATGATGCTTCCTTGTTTTCTGAACTATATGGTCATTGTTATTTCTAGGTTTGCAGCGGCATTTTCTACAGTGCTATGTAAATGTGATTTACTTTTTGATTCCCATTTGCTACTTGGAAGATGTTTTACTTCTGCCTTGTTACATGTGCAGCTCCAACTTCTGTGAGAAGTTTTCAGCAGAAAACAGTTTAATTGATATCAATAACATTGATGATGCAGCACAATTCAAGAATATACCAGATTCTTTTGTTGATGTTTCACCTATGTCATACCCTCTCGTATTAACATTTCGTGAATTCTTGATGATGCTAGACGCGACATTGGGCAATTCATACGTCGAAAGGTTTGACGATGTAACAAAATTTTCTGATGGCCAAAGTGAAGGTTTTAGATCAGTTGCCTTACAAAACTTTCTGAGGACAAAGGAACTTAATTGTGACATGTTTAGCTCATTTTACTGGCCACATTTTGATTCGAAGCTAACGAAGAAGCTAGATTCTTCTAGAGTCTTCAATGAGATTATATGTCATATAAAAGGTGGCCTGCAAACCATGGAGGTTGATGATGGTAAACTTAGTCGACAGAATTATGTTCAATCGTCAGAAAGCAGGGTTTCCTCTTTAAGCAAGCGTGATAAAGAGAAAATTTATGATATATTTCAGAACTATGAAAGAATGAAGAAGGAGAATTGTGAATTTGATTTGTCCGACCTTGTTATTGATCTTCATCGTCGACTTAAAGCTGGAAAGTATAATGGTGACATAGTGGATTTTGTTTACATCGATGAGGTGCAGGATCTTGCCATGAGTCATATCATGCTATTTAAATATATCTGCAGAAATGTTAAAGAGGGTTTTGTATTTTCGGGTGATACAGCACAAACAGTTGCTAAGGGAATAAACTTCAGATTTCAAGACATACGATCTCTTTTCGACAAGAAGTTTGTATACGAATCAAGAAGCGATGGACATGATCCAAGGAAAGAAAAAGAACAACACTCGGAAATTTTCAATTTGAGCCAGAACTTCTGTACACATGCAGGCTTACTGAAGTTAGCTCAAAGCATCATTGACATTTTATACCATTTCTTCCCTCACTCTATTGATGTTTCAAAACCTGAGGATAGTCTTACACTTGGGGAACCTCCAGTTCTGCTTGCATCTGGGAACAATGAAAATGCAATCGTGACAATATTTGGTGACAATGTAAATGTTGGCTGGAATCAAACTGGTTTTGGAGCAGAGCAGGTAATACTTGTCCGTAATGATTATGATCGGAAGAAAATTTCTAGCAATACCGGAAAGCAAGCTCTTGTTCTAACAATAGTAGAGAGCAAGGGACTTGAATTTCAGGTGATTAATTTTTACCGAGAGACTTTTGTTAATATCAAAGTAATAATCATAGAGTTTCTGTAATCCTTAAGTACTGTTCTAATATTTTGTTTCATTAATAATTTATGTTATCCCCTGTTGTAGGATGTACTGCTGTACAACTTTTTTGGCTCATCACCAGTGAAATGTCAATGGAAGGTGATATATGAATATATGAAAGAACAAGATCTGCTTGATTCCATGTCAGGAGGGTCCATTCCAAGCGTCTGTGAGGCAAAACACAATGTCATGTGTGCTGAACTGAAACAACTATATGCAGCAATCACTTGCACAAGGCAAAGGTTATGGATTTGCGAGGATATAGATGAGCTCTCTATACCTATCTTTGATTATTGGGAAAAAAAGTCACTTGTTCAAGTCAAACAATTGGATTATTCATTTGCACATTCAATGCAAGTTGCAAGCAGCTCAGAAGAGTGGAAGTCGCAAGGCATTACGGTTAGTGTATTTTTTTTCTGTCTGATGATAGTAATAATCGTTATGTTAGGATCCCACATTGAAAGGGAAAGGGATGGGCATGTGGGTTATAAATGGCTTGGACACCCTCTCTTGGCAAGCCGGTTTTCCAAGAAGAGTTTTACCAAGCCCACAAAAGGCCCATTGATCGGCCCAATTCCTACAAAAGGCCCACTGTCTAGCCCAATTCCTATCAACTTGGGAGTGGGTTCCTATCAAATGGTATGAGAGCATGATCTTGTGCCTGCGTGGACATCGCCTACGTGGCAGGCTGACCTTGGGCTCGGGCAAAGGGCATTGAGGCCTAAGGGAAAGGGGATCCGTGTAGCCACCCAAGGGATAAAGAGGCCGACGTGGACGTCGGTTTTGGAAGCATGGTGGTGTGATAGGATCCCACATTGGAAAAAAAAATGGTGGCCATGTGTGGGTTACAAGGGCTTGGGCACTCTCCCTTGGCAAACTGGCTTTCCAAGGAAAGTTCTACCAAGCCCATGAAAGACCCATTGTCTAGCCCAATTGTTTGAGTTGTTAGAGTGGGTTTCTATCAATTAGTATCAGAGCATGATTCTATGCTTACGTGGCAGCGCACGCATGGCAGGTGATCCATGGTAGGTTAACCTTGGGTTAGGGCTGCTATCGTGAAGAAGGGCAGATAGACCTGAGGTAAGGGGATCCGTGAAGTTAACCAAGGGGTAAAGAGGTTGACATGGACGTTGGTTGCGAAAGTGTGGTGGAATGTTAGGATCGCACATTGAAAGGGAAAGGGATGGGCATATGGGTTATAAATGGCTTGGACATCCTCCTTTGGTAAGCCGGTTTTCCAAGGAGAGTTCCACCTAAGCCCATAAAAGGCTCATTGCTTAGCCCAATTTCTATCAAAGGCCCATTGTCCAGCCAATTCATATCAATTTAGGAGTGGGTTCCTATCACATTATTAACATTGTCATAACTTTCTAATTTTTGTTGTCATGCGTACAACTAAAATAACTTATTTGCGTATTGAATGCGTTCTGCTGTTGCACTACTACGGGTATCAATTTTATTGCTATTGTTGTGCTGTTGTTGCCTGCATTTCTTTGTAATAGGAGTGTGATGAATCTTTGGATGCCATTATTCTCCTGGAAAATTCACTTTATATTCTCCTTTCTTTCTTTTCAGCTGTTTTATAGGCATAACTATGAGATGGCGACTCTGTGCTTTGAAAGAGCTAACGATACTTATTGGCAAGGTAGGTCTAAAGCTACTGGTCTTAAAGCTGCCGCGGACCATACGCCCAATTTGATCCCTGAACAGGCTAATATGATCCTCAGAGAAGCTGCTGTAATATTTGAAGGCATAGGTGACCTAGATTCTGCTGCTAGATGTTTTTCTGATTTGAAGGAGTATGAAAGAGCAGGTATGCAGTAAATTTTGAGTGTTAATCGATTATTAACTATATAACATGTCGTCTTTACGCTCTGTGCTCTGCAGTTTTATGGTTAGTTTCATTAGAGTTTTTTTTTTTCTTTTTTTTTCTGTGAAACTTAGAAATTAAGTGTTACTATTGAGGATAAGAGACAAATTGGTTATCAGTATAAACTTCTAATCATCTGTAAGTATTGAGAGTGAAGATATTATGCATAATGAAACTATTCCACCAAAAAGTTTTCTTTTAGTTCAAAATGATCAATATGTAGAATTAGAACAAGTTATTGCTGAGATTCGGGTGCAATTTAGGAGACTCAAATTGTTTTCTGGGGATTGAAGTGATGAGGTTGCATGAGGAAACACAGAGCTCTTTGAGAGAAGAAGTTTGAGAAATGAGCTTAGAAGTTGTCTTTATGGATAGTCTCAAATGTGTCAAGAAGAGCATTGAAAATCAACTTGATTGATAATTTCAATTAGTTCCATGTATTTTTGCATCAATATGTTTTTGCTTTCATCCCTCACATTTTTTCCGAAGAACTTGCATCGTTGTAGTTGTTGGAGGTTTAATTTGCATTTTGCACCACTTTGAGGCTAGTGAATTTGAGTTTCATATTTTAATTTATTATTCCTGCAGGAAATATTTATTTTAAAAAAATTGGGGAAAGTGGTCTGGAAAAAGCTGGAGAATGTTTTTGTTTGGCTGGACAGTATGAGCTTGCAGCACATGTTTATGCCAAGGGAAATTTTTACTCAAAATGTCTAACTGCTTGCTCAAAAGGAAAACTTTTTGACATTGGTCTTCAATACATCCATTCCTGGAAACAGAAAGCCGAAAAAGATATTAATCCAATTAGGAGAAGCAAAGTATTAAACAAAATTGAACAAGACTTTCTAGAGAGTTGCGCTATTCAGTATCATGAGCTCAAAGATAAGAAATCGATGATGAAATTTGTCAACGCTTTTCATTCTGTGGAGATGAGACACAAATTTTTGAAGTCTTTTAGACTCTTCGATGAGCTTCAGTTGTTGGATGGATTGCATAATTTGGAAAGTATACCTTTCAGAAGTCAAAGGTCGAAGGTATATAGATTTCTTACCAATAAGCTGTTACTTATTTCCTCTTTTTAGTTTTAGTGATAACTTGTTTCCCTTCATTATTTTTTTGTTAGCCATTTTCTGAGCATAATAACACAACTAGGGGCTTCAACGAAGCTGGAGAAGACCAGCAACAAAAGTCTAACGCTACTGAGCTTGAAGCAGCTTTAGACAATGTGCAGAGTTCAAATCCTGAAGCCATAGACAAGGGTGGTTTCGCTTCCAGATGTAATGTGATGTAGAGTTAAGATTTGAGATTTTGTATTTATGTGTTTCTTTGAAACTGTCTAATATGTTTCAATTGAAAATGATTTATCTTGTGCTATTCATAATTTGATGTATAATGAAGGATGGATAAAGCTCTCAGTAAGGTTATACCTTTGTAATATATATGGTTGGTCATGCACTTAATATTTATAGGCTTCAGTTTGGTACATGTAATCTGCTTAAAGTGGCTGCAACATGAAATGGGTCTCACAAGTTCAATAGCCCATGATACTTCAATTTTCAATTTTATCTTAATCTGCTCTTTTGCTGATAAAAATAAAGTCAGGGAAGTGATTTCTAGGAATGTCTAATTTATCCGTGTCCCACACTTTTAAATATGTATATATTTTTATTTTAATATTATTGTTTTAATCTTCAAAACCTTTAATTTTTTACATAAATCTTGACTCAACGTTTTCATATTCATCGAAAACTTTTGTTTTGTTTACACGTTTGTTTGATAAAAATATATTACTTAAGCTATAGAGTAGATAATCAAATGTCAAGATAAATTTGAAGAAAAAATAAGTTTCAAATTTAAATTGAGGGAAAGGGGTGTAAATAAAAATCTAATTAAGCTTACAGAGCTATTTTCGATATTAAATGGGTTTTAAAAGATTTTTTATGAAATATATATGATAGATTAGGCGGGGTTAAATATCACTATCTAAAAGAATCTTCAAGTCGTTGAATATCGTCGATGTTTCATCCTCTGTTTTAAAAATCGGACTGGACCGGGACCCAGGGCCTTCTCCGGGTTGGTTCACTCTTTTTAACTATTTGAAGTTTAAAATATAACAAACACACCCTTGATTATTACCATCAGTCCCTGAAGGTTTCAAATCTAGCAAACACACCCTTTGGCCAAATGCAAATCGGCAATGACCTCCCCTTTTCCAGCAACCTTCCACCTTCCCTTACTGTCGGAAACCACCTTCTGAGTTCTGACTTTCTTCGGCGCTGTCACGCTTCATCTCCAGCCACCGCGTGACATTTCGTCGTCCACCTTCGCTGCGAGATTTTTCTTCCATTTCCCGGCGTCGATCGGCCTTCTCCGGCATCGACAGGCTTCCTCAGCCACCGATCTACCTTCTCCTAAGCTCCCTTGCCATCGTTCACGAAGATCCAGTCATCTCACAAAAAAAAGCAACCGCGACCAGTGACTTTACCACCGATTTGCCATTTTCCGGCGATGCCTCTACTTGCTATCTGCTGATTCGCCCTCCCCATCATCCGATCTACCCTCCCTGGTGTGTCGTCGCTGCTCTCCTAATCGATCGTCGATTTGCATTTGGCCAGGGTTGTGTTTGCTAGATTTCAAACCTTTAGGGTCTGATGGTAATTATTAGGGGTGTTTTTGTTAGATTTTAAACCTGTCAAACCATCGGTTCAACCGGTTGGACCGGTTGAACCGTGACCCGGCCATCAGAGCGGTTTGCCCTCTGGTCCGGTTTTTAAAATAATGGTTTCATCCTCTTGATCCTCAACTTGGATACATTGTTTTAAAAACCGGACCGAAGGGCAAACCGCTCTGATGGTCGGGTCACAGTTCAACCGGTCCAACCGGTTGGACCACCGGTTGAACCGATGGTTTGACAGGTTTAAAATCTAACAAAAATACCCCTAATAATTACCATCAGACCCTAAAGGTTTGAAATCTAGCAAACACAACCCTGGCCAAATGGAAATCGACGATCGATTGGGAGAGCAGCAACGACACACTAGGGAGGGTAGATCAGATGATGGGGAGGGTGAATCGGTAGCTAGCAAGTAGAGGCATCGCCGGAAAATGGCAGATCGGTGGTAAAGTCACTGGTCGCGGTTGCTTTTTTTGGTGAGATGACTGGATCTTCGTGAACAACGGCAAGGGAGCTTGGGAGAAGGTAGATCGGTGGCTGAGGAAGCCTGTCGATGCTAGAGAAGGCCGATCGATGCCGGGAAATGGAAGAAAAATCTCGCGGCAAAGGTGGACAACGAAACGTCACGCGACGACTGGAGATGAAGCGTGACAATGCCAGAGAAATTCAGAACTCAAAAGGTGGTTTCTGACAGTAAGGGAAGGTGGAAGGTTGCTAGAAAAGGGGAGGTCATTGCCGATTTGCATTTGGCCCAAGGGTGTGTTTGCTAGATTTGAAACCTTTAGGGACTGATGGAATAATTAGGGGTGTGTTTGTTATATTTTAAACTTTAAATAGTTAAAAAGAGTGAGCCGACCCAAAGAAGGCCATGGGTCCCGGTCCGGTCCGGTTTTTAAAACAGAGCTTGGATACACTGTTTTAAAACTCGGAACGGAGGGTAAGGTCATGGGTCAACCAATCCAATTTGTTAGACCAGCAGTTGGACTGGTGATGTCAGCAATAGTTTTTTATTTTAAAAATTGCATATTAATCCTTTAAATTTTAGTATATTACAAATTAGTCCCTAAAATTTCTAAAATTAGTCCCTAAAATTTTTATTTTATTTAAAAAATGCCCAAAAAAATTACCATTAATCCCTAAACTTTTGACATATCTCCAAAACACCCCTAGAAAATTACAAATTAGTCCTTATAAATTTGAAATATTATAAAACCCTCCTGAAACCTGAATCAGATTGGAGAAGCTGCCAGTTCCAAACCGGCCGGGTTTTAAAATAGAGCTTGGATGTGTTCTTCTTGCGCAACCTTCTCCTCCAGGACAATTCGCTTTTGCTCTTGTTCAATTTTCTCTTCTTGGACAACTTGTTTAGCTTCAATGTTCGACTTCATTCTCAAACTCTTTTAATGTGTGATCTTCAATTGGTACCATCTCGTGATCTTTGTAGGCTTTAAGAATTTCTTTAGAAAGTGCTTTAGGCTTATTGTCTTCGTCCATAACTGGTGAGGTATGTCTTTTCTGGAGACGAATTTTTTTTTTTTTATTCTTAGTTGTGATTCTAAATGAAAGGCTAATTTGAGAACATCAAGCAATGTATGGTCAGGTCGTAAATCAATTTGAGCTTGTATGTTTGCATTCAACCTATCAAATAATCTCAAAGCTACTAGATATGGATGTTCATTATAGTTAAATGTAGAGTAACAACTGTTGATATTCATCAATATATTCTTGGACAGATTTATTATCTTGACAACAACTCAAGTATCGATATAATAACTCTTGAACATGTTCACAAGAAAGAAATCGTTCCTTCAAAGCATATTTTATCTTGTACCATGATATTTGATGTAGTTTATCAAACCTACATTTTGCAAACTTCCAATCATACCACCATTCTAAAACACGCCCTTTTAGTAGATAACCAACAACCTTGATATGTTCCCATGTCGGAATATCCATATTAGTTAAGAAATCTTCAATAGCTTCAATCCAATCAAGAAAAGCTTCACCATGAGAATCCCCGTTGTAAATTGGAAGGTGACAACATTTTTGGCGTAAGCTGTCTGACATATTGAAGGGTTCTTTAATTCTCTCTCTCTCTCTCTCTCTTTTTTTCCCCCCTCAAAAGCACAAACAGAAAGACCAAACTAAAAGGAACTGAAACTTAGAAAGAATGAAGAGTAACTGAAAACTAAAAGAGGCCTGTGATAGATGGCAAAAGCTGGGGTGCACACTAGCATTGTCCAGTGGCATGCAAGTTACGTGTGACTGCATAAATTTTGGGATTTTTTTTGGGTGAAGAGAGGTGGATGAAGTTAGTGGAGTATGTTTGAGGTATGTGTATGGGTAGGAGTATAGGGAAGTGTTCAGGATAGGTAGGTTACAAACAAGAATCGGATGAAGACTCCGATATCACTTGATGCAGCAGAATTTGGATAAGCACTAGATGCGTTCTAGTGTAGCAGTTCGAATCTACGAACACGTCTGAATCCACGAACAATGAATCTCAAATCTATGAGAAGCCAGCAAGTTTAAAATCTAGCAAACACATCCCTAAAAAATTATCGGTCCCTACAGGTTTGAACTATAGCAAAAACACCCCTGTGACATTAGTTTTTTGCTTTTCTGGCCAAATTTCAACTGATTCTGGCTACCAATATTCAATCTGACACCACCACCTTAACCACCGGCGTCCACTCTATAAAACCCCTCTTACCTCGGTACTTGGTAGCCCTTTGTTCGCCAATTGTGACTCGTGTATACCTTGATTTTTCTGGCCAAATTCCGACGGCCAAAATTCAATCTGAAACCACCACCTAAATGACTAAACTCCACTCTGCAAAACCCCTCTAAGCTTCACACTTGGTAACCCCCCATTTTTCGGTCGTGACTCACATATATCTTATTTTTTTGGCCAAATTTCGGATGATTCTAGCGCCCAAAATTCAATCCGATACCATTCCTTGAACCACTAGTTTCCGTTCTACAAAACCTCTCTAACCCCTAGCACTTAGTAGCCGCTCGTTCGTCAGTGGCTAGATTACGGATTTTGGGAGTAGTTGAAAGGTAGTAACCTCACCTGAAGAAGGCCTCGGGTTCCGGTTAGACCGATTAAATCGGTCGGGCCGGGTTGGGTTTTTAGAACAAAGGGTAATATCAAGTGGGTTTTGCAAATATCAACATTTCGGATATTAGAACAACTTACTGAGAATTAAAAACAACAAATAAAACATCAAAGGTTTCATGAATCAGTCTTCTTTCAGAATAGACGAGACTTGCCTCATGTTCAATAGTTCAGTCAGCATGCTTTAAGATCATAAGTATAGAAAATCTGATAAATAATTTCTATGCTCTGGAGTTCATGCTCGTAACAATTAATTATCTTATAACTTTTAGGCAAAGTCAGATCGAGATATTATAAAAGTAAACTACTTTTCTTTTTCTTTTTTTTTGTTTTTTTGTTTTTTAATTCGTAGTGACTATTCATGGTCACTTTTTTGTTCGGTTATCTGTGGTGACATTCTGTGGTCACCTTTCCATGATATTCTTTGTCACTTCTCTTTTTTTATATTTGTGGCAAATATGTATTTGTAACAGCAATCTCTCCATTAGATAGCGTTCAATAAATTGAGACATATTTGAACAAAGAATTCATTCTTTGATAAAGAAATTAATAGAAACTAACCTTTCTCTTCCGATCAATGTCGTTGTATTCCTTTTGACCACTGTTTCATCATTCACTTATATTCACATCTTTTCAGTTTTTCATCGGAGGAAAATTTGATTCATTCTATGAATTTTTAGATGACATT